AAGACTACAAATAAGCAACTAAAACAACTGAGTATTCTCATCAAGTACAAGTTCATAATTGACTACTTAGAGGCCGTCCCATGTTGAATCTTAGTGTGCCCGCATGCTTGAGCAAGGTGTCTTAGTCCCATCAGACAGGGTACAGCATCGTTGTGTCAAACCCATGGGGGGGGTCGTACTTTTGCTCTGGGGAGGGGGGGGGTCGTATTTGTAAGACAAATTTATTTTGATAGTTTGATTTTTCTTGTGGAAAAAAAGGGGGGGGGGGGTCGTATTAATTTTTTGATTTATATGCATTCTGTTTCATCAGTCATCATTCGCCCGTGTCGTTGCATAGTTCATCTTCCACTCGTGTACCGTTGCGATTGAGTACAGTTATTGTATATCCCCCCTCCCCGAAAACTTTTTCGCCGACTATATACATCATCTGCTACGTTTGTCGGCGCAACAGCAGTGGGAGGTGGGGGGGGGCGTGCCTGCGACACCCCTTCGACTGCGGGGGGGTCGTACTTACATTCCGACATTTCGCAAATCGCCATGCTGTACATGCAGCACAGAGTGATTCAATTCACCGAAGACGAAGGTGATATCTGCGCCACTGCCCCAGACCGCACCCAAAGTTTACTGATGTGCGGTTGTTTCATTACACCGTCCATTCCGACCAAGTGCGTCGATGCGAGTGATAAAGGAAAAAGCTTTAATCGTTGTGGCAGCAACAACTGGAAAAGTCGTCCAAACACGTTCTCCTTTCGACTTATGCATGTGTAAACTCAGTTCGCCAAAGGGTCACATACTGGTATTCATGACGGTTTTTCTCTGCCTTTTTCTTTACCATAATTACTTACCGCTTAGTCACTATAATTTGAGACCCACAATCCATCATTTTTCATCATTTTTGATCACTAGGAGTGCCTCTTAATGCCCCACTCACAGTCAATGCCCCCTCACACTGTCAACGCAATTACGATAATTTGATAAAAAATGTGGATACGAAATCCAAAAAACCATCAATTGCAACCAACCCTCGTAGCAGGTGGAAAAAATTCAACAGGAGCGAGTTCGACCGATCTCGATTATTTGTTTATTCGTCCAATCGTAACATAGCGGCACCTTCCCCCTAAAGGTGAAGTTGAAATGCTTGAAGGGCATAAGTCGTATCGCAGCTGGAAGCCTCACGTCAGGCTTACTGATTTTTGTGCAGCGTTCGTCGTGGGAACAGCCGATTTCACGACGACTGACGTACCATCAATAATGAAATGGTTAGTCCTAAATACATGGCTTAGTATTGAGATGTCCAACTATTCTTATGTAGTTGGGGATTTACGAATTCCAGCTATTAGGTTGTCCGGAAAGTTCTTAGCGTTTTGGGTGTTTAACTTTAAACGATCATAACTTTCTTAACACTCATCGGATTTAATCCAAATAAGCACCATTCGAATCAGCACACTTTTGCCAATGTGGCAGCAGTCGAGAAATCCCATCAAAAGAAAAAACTGGGTGGTCGAGAATCCACGAAATCTGCGAAGGTCTTTTTTTTTGGCCTTGGTCCTTGTTGATGAATTATTTTCAGCATGTGATAAGTTTCTGTTAATAATTGTGCTGGATAATAGGTTTGATTCAGTTCGTTGGTGTAATTACGGTTCTAGATGCAATTATTGGTTGGTGAGGTGACTCAGCTTCCCATTCGTTTCAATGTTAACTGGATCCAGTGAGTTTGTGAAACGTCGTGGCGCGGTGCGTTGTCAATGGCATATAAGAATGCGGACCCTTTCTTTTGATTATAGTTGGCTGCCGTCTTGACAATATTTTCGGTACATTTGGTCGGTTTGTTCACAGTAGGGTTCTGCTGTGATGGTTTGGCCTGGTGATGAAAAGTTATAGTGGATTACAACAGCCGATGACCACCAAACCTGACCAGAATTTTTTTTTCGCGAGGGTTCGGCTTTGAAAATTACCTCGGTGGTTCCTCCAAATCCAACCACTGTCCGGAACGTCTCCTGTTATCATACATGATCCATTTTTCATCACAGGTGACAAATCCGTTCAAAAACGGGTCAATTCTTTTGCGCAAAAGCAGTGAAGAAGGAACCTCGAGACGTGCCGATTCCTGCCGGTCACTCCGATTGTGGGGCACCCAATTGTCGAGTTTTTTCACCTTCCCAATGCGTTCAGCGCCATCTGAACAGTCGGATTGCCAAGGCCGCTACCGCTCTTCTGCTATCTCTCGAACTGTTTGGGATGGGTCAACCTTCAAAATCCCCCTAAAATCCTCGTCAGATATTGCTTTAGGTCGACCGCTATGAGGCTCACCTTCAAGGCTGAAATCTCCAGAGCGAAATTTATTGAGCCATTGCCGCACAGTGCTTTCTTTAGCACAGCTGGTTGGTTTATTTGTTGAGCTGTTTCGATTGCGGATTGCCCCAATTTATAGCCGAAGAAAAAAATCGTCCGAAGTGCTCTTTTCACATGCTTGAAAAAATCTTGAAAAAAGAGGGTTTATCAAGCAATGGTGAAACGGCAATTATACCATCAGATAGCGCAAGAAATTCTCTACAGGATGTGCTACTGAGAAGCAAGGCAGAATGGGTTTTTATCAGTAGTTTTTCCGTCGCCACTTTAGCAGTGAATGTACAAAGATTAGGTGCACAAAACGCTAAGAACGTTCCGGACAACCTAATATTATGAGTTACAGATTTAACTGCTACGTTTAACAGCCCTATTTCCATGCGAAATCCCCAAAATGGGTTCGTACTTGGCCGCGAGGGACGTAGAGAGTATCGCAAAAGTAGGATCGCTAAGCATCAAACAGTACAAAAGTGTCACTGCTAAGTTTCATGGAACGGAGGAAAGCTGCAGAAGCCCCGGATGTAAATAGGACTACAAAATAATAAAAAATTTATTAGCAATATAGCAAGAATAGCAAGAATAAATAAATAAATAAATAAATAAATAAATAAATATAATATCAGTTAGTAGCATCAACTCGTGGGTAAGTAGATGACTAAATAATACGTCTCAAACAAATTCGTGCGTATTGTCCTTTCCAAACCCTTGACAAACATCTGCCTGCATGGATAAAAGCACCTGAAATCAGACCTTACACCAACCGTCACCCACCTCTGCGTAAGGAGCGAATCGCCGCGGCGCACACTCGACCTCAAATCGATCATGTGATATCCGATAGCCGCTCCTCTTCCACTCATTTGAAGGAAACTATGAGTTTTGAAGGCACACTGACGTTTCCGAAGTGTATCCTCACAATGGCACAGAAGGAGTCGATTTTCGGGTGGGTCAGAGGGTAGCGCGTCTGTGACCCATCTAAAATATCTCCTGAACTAGCGGGTCTTCAGGAAAACTGTTTAAGCTTATTGGAAAGGGAAAGAAGGGCGGTTTCAAGAGAATATTATCCTGTGCACTGCGTTCGAATAAGTATGCTCGTTGTGAAGTCAATAAACGCCGCCGTTTACCTACACGATCCAAACCCAATCCGAAATATACGAAGGGGGGCGGCGGAAAAACATTCAGATTGCAACTGGGTAGAAAACACAACAGCAGGAACATTGCTGTTGCATGCTGCTAACTATTCATCAAAAGCCGCGCCCCTAAAAAGAGATATAACCCCCGAAAAGACCCCAGGACGTTGGCAGGCCCAACAACCGCGCTCCAATGACGTTTTTCCAATGAAAGCGGTAGCAACGTTGCGATCGATTATAGCCGAGTATAGAACGAATATGCCGCCCGGTTAGCCATTTAGCTTTCAATGACCCATTACGTCACTGTTTGATTGTGTTCTTGTTACCAAGTCTGCCAATGTCATACCTAGACTGTCCGAACGAACGCGTTTTTATTTTGAAATTTTGGAACCCCTAAGACAAGCTAGGTAATGCAGCTGTTTTTTTCAGCCCTCAATAATTGCATGAGGCTGAAAACAGCTATTGTTGCCATGGATTTTAGAGCAGGCAGAGTCCGTCGCGCTTTCAACCAATCCAGATTCCATTTCAGGAGGCCATTTGTGGTGAACATGCATCTGGTTGTCAGTTAGAGCAGGAGGGGGGGGGTCGTATCTGGACCCTCTTCGAGGGAGGGTCCGAAACTCAGCATCGCCGCCATTTCGCACATCCCCATGCGTACCTGTCACTGAAGCCCTTCACATCTCATTCAGCTTCACAGAATGCTGCAGAGATGTGGGGCCCTTTGAAGGAGTCTCGTACAAAATGGGATTTCCGTAACGAAGCTGCTGGACTTTTGCAACGACAATAGTGATCGGAAAGCGGGGAGGACTTGGTTGATGGATCACGTCAAAGATGGTGCTTCTATATGGGTGACGCTAGATCCACTTTTCACGGATCTTTTCAAATTTCGCGCTCACCCAAAGCTGATGGGTCTACGGACAGCTAAAACTCAATCCCTTTAATGGCGCCAACTTTCTTCTTTTCTCTGCGCTCTCTTGCCTGGATGGCGATTTATGGCCACTTTGACCTTTCACATTCAACTTTTCACGCATACTAAGTGGCTCATCCACCCCGATATCCCTTCCCCTCGAAAAACTCATCTCCTGGCTCGCATCGTGTTTTTTGTACCTCACGATGCCTTGGCAGTGGCAGTCCCTTATTGCTCTGCGCTCTGGCCTATCGTGGCAGGACCCCCACCAAAAGTCTTAGTTGTCACGTAACCAGCTTGTGAAGGTGTAAGGATAAGGAAGCGGCGCGTACTACTCCCACATCAGAAGCGTGCTGGCCTCTCGAATACTGCACTGCTTCGTCTATCCAGTGACTTGTGGGGCCAGCCGATGTATAAGTCAGCGTTTTTTCATCCCAGACGAATCTGGTATTAATTTATCCTTCCTCGGAATGTAAAAGGCTTGGGCTGTACTAGTCCGGAGCCGGAACGGGATTTCACCCGCGGACCGCGCAGACGGTATAAGCATCACTTGCCACTGCATCACCTCCCGGATAAATGCTATCAGCACCGAAAAATGAAATGGCGCTCACAGTTTTATCTTAAGAAACGAAAACATACCTGATCAGTCTTTCAGCGACCTCCGAGTGCGTGAATGTAACGAAAGCAAAACTACGAAACGGTTGTGGAATGACGACACTAGTCACCTGAAAGAGTAACAAGTGAGCCATAGAACATCGAAATGTCATTCATTCAGCCCAAGCATCCTTACCCGAATGCAGATTCTCCACAATAACTTTAAGACTTCTTTGTCGAAGAATTCTCGCAATGTCTCCTCTGTGAGTTTTTGTGTAATACGACCGACAAATATTTTATCGGATCTCCGTGGTGCAACGCGCTTTCCACTTGGAATCGCCTCCGCTGAAACATATACTCCTCACAACAGAGGAATTGGAAACCAACTACTTTAGTTGAAATTGCCGTGACCTATCAAAATTATCTCCCCGATTACTGACGCCGCCCCCCCCGCTCGCAACCGGCCTATCATTGTAGGGAAATGGGAGGAGAAGGGGGCGAGAAATCACAGAGCAGTGCTCGCTGTACGTACAACTAACCCAATTGACACAGCGCGGACAAGAAAGTTGCGGCAGCCTAGTCTTTCAATACGGATATCGTCGCACAGCTTCGTGCTCTACCCGTTTCCCGGAAGTGCCTAGCACCAAAACAACCTTAAAGACAGTTCCCGCGAGGAAATGGTCCACAAAATGCTTCCGTGCATTTGGCATCGTTGTCCTCACTCGCAAAGAATATACCGTTATTGTTACTCGAAACGCCGAGATAAAGAAGCTAGAGACGCGTGATTATTGCAACCATTGCAACCACGATCACTTTCACTGCGCAAGACAACGGCTCATAAGCGAATTGCGCGTGTACATAACGTTGCCTGGAGCGTCGTAGGGTGTCGTAGGCTCTTGCCGGGAATTGGCTGCGTGTCAAATCCTGCTAATTAGGCTTCCGACCTACGAAAAACTCGTCCGAGCCGCCCACTGCTAAGGGAGACTATTTTAAGAGTGTTCTCATTTTCTTCGCTTCTTTCTCTACTGGAGGAGTTATTTACAGGCTACTGGTTTATGACTGAGCACCTACTACCCGTATTGATCACGGGAAGTGTCTTTAATATTTGAGACTCCATCACAACTCATGAAAACACCTGCCTTCTCCTCAGGAATGCGGACTTCACAGTGTCTGCCGTCGATTGTGTGACTAGCAGTAGCCAATATTTTGTCCTCCTCTTCCAATGAACTCATTTGCACAAATCCATATCCTTTAGATGTTTGGTCTGTGTTCTTTTTGATCTAAACAAAAAAATACAGCCAATCACTTCAACTTACAGACACCGTTCAGAATTGCCGGATAGGGGAGTCGACACTACCGCGTCCTTCTGACCCGGCTCATCGGCAATGTGGAAGGCGCTTCAATGATGACATTTCATGAGTCCGCACACAATTGTGTACCGTATCTTCAATGAAGTTTCATTCTTCTCACTCTTCCACAATATTTGTTACCACTGAGATTTGTGTATCCACGCACTCATGGTTGTTAACGTTCATTAACAGGAACAATATGCATGCAATGGAATCACAAATGGGGTATAAAACTAGCCAATACATCCCAAAACCATTGTCCGTGATCACAGTTAAAGTCTCCAGGTCAAGTTGGTACGTTAAGATGTGGAGATTGGGAATATCGATTATTTGATATGATGCACCCAAGAGGAGAAAAGTTCGTACAATCCTGGAAAATTGTTTCGTCTTTCAATCGCAGATCCCGCGAGAGGGTTCAGCCAACTAATTTCCATCCCATTCATGTTTCTGATTCTCTCTAATGGCGGATTCTCCACATTCGCAAAGTATAGACGCAAACGTGAACACTAAATGGGTGTGATGCACGA